TATTTAAAGATAAATTGAAATCTTACTTTTATAGACTCTGGAGAGTTACTGTGTTTCTCTGGGTGCCACTTTAGAGCCAGCCTTTTATAGCTTGTTCTGACTGAATCTTGATCTGCCCCTGATAATTAGAACATCAATCAGAATTTGATTTTAAATATGTGAACAAGAGCTCATAATTATTAATTTGACCATCCTCTTTACTGCAAAACCGAAAAAGGAAGGAAAGGAAAATAGAATATTTTTGCCACCAGTTCATACTCTAGGTATCAATCAATCAATCAAGCAGGGAATGAGTACATTTCTGAAAATATTTGTGAGTTCTATACAACTAAAATTCATAATAATTAACACTTGAACTTTTAGCCACATGAGAGCTACAGATTGATACATTGTAAAAACCTTTGATTTATGCCGCCAACTTTTTGTTGCTCTCTCCAGTTATTCTTTCTTTTATTAGTTACTATTAGTTTTTCCTTTTCTTTGTTCTTAGAATGGCTTCCCATAATTGATAATATATTTTACTCCAATCACTAATACTTTATTCACCTTTCAACTGTCCCAAACAGTCATAATGGTTTTAAAATGTTAGTTTAAAAGATTCTGATTTCTCAGCCCTTCTTGAACAGTTGGAAGGTAAACAGACATTTACTGATTTAGGAATAAGAGTTAAAAGTATGGATAATTATTAAAAATCATTTATTAAGCTGGGGAAAACATAAAATAACCTAAAAAAAAAAATACCTGAAATGAGCAACGTAAATCTAGTTTTTATAACGCTTAAATATGTATAGATAGAATATTCTATTGTTATTTAAAAATGATAAATGTCCTACAGACCCAGTTTAACAATAGATTTCATTCTATGCATTCTCAATGTAGCAAAATAAACATGGGTGGTAACTTGAACTCAGGAAATTTACTATGAACAATCTAGAGAGTTTCAATTGTAAACATGGCAGGTAAATTTGATTCGAGAAAACCGTTGAGAAAATCAGTTGAATTTTTGTATTTTTATGGATTATTTTTGGGATAAAAGGCATGTACAATCTCAAAAAGGTTTGTTACTATGAATTTGGAGGTTATTTTCAGTGCAAATCCTTTTCTATTCTTCAAAATTGTTTGGGAGCGATTCTGCAATCATTTGCTAAATTGCGAGTATATCGGTGTAGGGTGGTTTCGCGCCGATTACCTGTTTGCGCCGAGTGGTATCGCGCCGAGTGGTTTCACCCCGTTTATCAACAGGTAAGATATTAGTAGTATACAGTATGGCTTCCCCCCAATTACCTATAATTATATAAGGCCTAGAAAAAAAATATGTTTGTTTCCGCTTTCAGGCTGAAAAAATATAGGGTAGGTAGGAAGGCATTTTTTTTTTTTTTGAAAAAAATTTATTTTGCTTCTTTAATCAAAACATGTATAGAATTGACATTAAAGACAAAAGAAGTGGTGTTTTCAAGCATTTCTGTGACTTAATCTTACAATAGAAAGGTGACCCAAATTTTTTCAGTCTTGAAAAGCTTGCAAAGTTGGAGACTATGACTCGCTGGATGAAATCTTGCACATCATGGGACAAAAGCATTAAAAAAATATTTAGGGTCGGCACTATAAATTAGGGTCGGTTGGGAAAGCGGAGTCAAACATATTTTTTTTAGGCCTAACTTAGTACCTTGTAATTAATTAACCCCAAGTGTTAATGTCGTGTGTCGGATAATTATCCCATTTTGTATTATCACTGATAGTGAGGCCATTTTTACATGTTTTAGCCATTTATTTGAACAAAATTGATTGTATAATTTGGAATAATTAAGACTGGATGTTAAGATAACTATTTATTTCAAAAATATCATTGAGTTTTCAAGGATGTCATTGTTTTTCATTTGATTTACAATATTAGACTTCCCATTTCATTGCAATTACCTCTTCTTTATAAAATTTTAATATATTGTAACGGGACCGTCTAGGGTCAGTCCCGTATTTTATAAAAGTGATATCCGAGTTCAAAGGATAACGAGATTTACAGTGTTTTAAAAGATATTGTATTCTGTAATATTAACAGATTCAACACAAAATATGTAATCTAAACAATTACATAAGAAACATTATCATGATATAAAATCCTGGAGAGTGTGATAATTGGTATTTACCGTTAATTTCAGTTAATATGGCCCCGGTCCCCAAAAGTACGTCTAATCAGTTCTAGTAAAAGTTAACAAAATCCTCCAAAATACCCCAACCGGCTGGGCTCTATTATCCCGACACGCGACACGCATATGCAACCCGAACGGGCAAAGGGAAATAACTCTAAAATAAATATAGGGCAAAACCATCACAATATATTTTAATCAAATGACTAATTCGATAAGCGGTATCTTCAGTTATACAGTAGAAACCAATCGGGACGAATCCACTCGGCGCGAAACCACTCAGCGCGAACAGGTAATCGGAGCAAACCACCTGCATTCAGTATATCGAGTATATCATTATATGGGAGGCATTCTAACTGTGGTGAGGGCTTGTCCCGGGACACAGATCATTCTAACTAAATCTCTAGCGTTACCTTTCTGTTTTTTCTGTCTGAATTTTCTTCAAGAAAGCTATATTTCTGCAACTAGGCTGTCCAACGCATTTCTCTACCATGGAAATTAAAAAACTTGGTTTTGTGTGACCTCAACTTGTGACTGTGTTAGTAAACAGAGGAGTCGGTGTGATTGATATGTTACAGGTTGGGACCACTTGCCCAAATGGGATATAATAGGCCGTTTTGGATAGAATATCCCAAATGGGCTAAAAATTTTCAGTGACAAGAATGAAAATTATTATTTTGGATTTAAATGTCATAAATCTGCACCAGGGCACCTAAATCTGAATAACTTTTGGTAAGCAAGTTTCTATGCAATCGTATAGTTTGTAAGATTGATCCCAAATAAGTTGAGGAACTTCCGAGGGATCAATCTCTTAAACAATGGCCCTACAGAAAAACTTGTCAACCAAAAGTTATTCCTTTATAGGTGTTCTGATGCGGATTTATGATATTTAAATCCAAAATAAAAATTTTCATTTTTTGCACTGTACATTTATAGCCCATTTGGGATATTCTATCCCAAACAGCCTATTATATCCCATTTGGGCGAGTGGTCCCAACCTGATGTTATGCAATTTTACCATATAGGAAACATGACCCGCTCCTTAACATTGTTCACATAGGGGGGAAATCTTTCAACCAAACAGAAACTATCTCGAGTATGCATGTGATAAATCAATATGCACGAAGTCATATCCTTGGTTGAAATGGACTTGGTGTGGAACGTCTGGCACGAAAACGTTCCTGTTATTAATTGGTAATAAAAGAAGAAATTCAGTTGTTTACCACTCATTCATTCTTACATACCTATTGGCAACTCTAAAATATCATATGCATCAGATCTTGAAAATCCCATCTTCAGTTTTATGAAACGCTTGACAGTATAGTATGTTTAAACAAAAATCTTTTGGAAAAGTTGAACTCAGGCCGCCATTTTCTGTATTGCATGTGTGTAGCCACGTCACGTGGTCTCTTTGAGAGATTTGATATTGTTTTCAAGGAGCGGATCAAACTTTGATTTACGTTGTTTAATAAAATGAAACCAATCACGCGTCCAAATTGTTTTGAAAATTGCAATATTTGATGTACGAAACACACATAATAAGAAATTAAATATCTTTAATATTTCAAATGATGATATTCTTTCTTCCACATACTTGTACATGTAGTGTATGAGCATGATGAGGGGAATGGCAATAAAGTTAAGAAATTGATTTATTTTTTTATTTTTTTTAAACCACTCACTCATCCATACATATCAATTGGTATGATATGGTAAAAAAAGTAACTATTATTTTACACCCGCCCCAATCCCACCCCAATATTTAAAAGAAAAAAAAACAAGAATCACTTCAAATTCAACGGAACATATAAATATAAATGTGATTATTCGATCAATTTTATGATAATTAATTTGAAGTCAGATTACATCTTAGTTTAAAGTTAATATTAACTGATGTATTGGAGGAATTTTAGAAGAAAAGCTAGACTACAAACAATGCATACTACATGTACAGATGTTTTCCAAAAGGGCAGATGATTTTAATTTACTGTCCCGCAATCAAAGAAGCGGGTATACATGTGTAGCTTTTGCCCTGTCCGCCCCTTTGCAGGCACGTAGTATCAGGGGGGCCAGGGGGGGGGGGCTGGTCCCCCCACTTTTTCTCCCGACATTACCTTTACTATAGGAAATGTATACTGAAAGGAAGATTGGCCCCCCACATCTCAGCACAGTGTAGTGTTATAAAGGAAATGTACCCCCAAAATTTTGAATTTGATTAGATTGGTCTTGAAAAAAGTTAGCCACTACCCCCCCCCCCCCCCCCCCCCACCCACGAAATAGGATTTTCGACTTTGGGCAACTTTTAATATTCCTTTTTTTTTTTTTTTTGCTTGTCAACTTTTTCAGGTAAGTAAAGAAAAAATTTTAACAGGTTGGCCTCCCACTTTCAAAAACGATGCTACGTGCCTGCTTTGTCTGTCTGTCTGTCTGTTTATATAAGTTTGTCTTTTTGTCCTTAACCTTCTCCATAACGTTTGGGTGAGTTGGGATATGGCTTTCCTATTTAACAGGTATAAAGTATTCTTGTATTCTTTAGGTTTTACCAGAGACGTATAATGGATGACTTTCAAAGCAAAAGAGGAGTGACGTCCGTTATTATGAGTCCAATAACTTTTAATTAGGCTAATAGGTTTAGGATATATGCATTAAACATGTTAAATACCTTCAAATTCCAGAGAGGGGGGGGGGTCTGACCCCCCCCCCCCCCCGACCCAATTCTAGTATTAGATCCGCGCGTGAATGATGTTCAGATTTAACAACTAAAAATGTGAATGTATATATAGGTTCTCTTATTACAAAGAAGGCGTAGAAAAGCGTACTTTTGTTTCAATCCGAAATTTCCTTGTACGACTGACGATTTTCCTTACTCGAATCAGTTTACGTTTGATTTGTCAAAGAGGGATTGCAGGCGACTCTCGCGAAACAAAATTTTTAGAAATGATTTTGGAAAATAGTGCATAAAGATTGAAAGCAGATCTAAATGGGCGGCAATACTCAAGATCAAGACAAGGAGGTTGATCAGGGGGTCAGGGAAATTATCGACACTTTGAAATCAAAAGGCCTCTTTGATCAGTTCAGAAAGGAGTTTGTGGCTGATGTTGATACAAAGGTTTATTTTTAAACATTTCTTTTTAAATATTGTAAAATAATGTCTTTATATTGTGTTTAAAGTATCATATGCCGTGCTGTTCCTATATATGCAAAAATGACTCTAGATAGGGTTTTTTCTAGCACTAGGAGACTAGGAGTAGTGTATATTTTCCTTTGACAATGAACCTAAATTACTTAAACTCGAGATTGATACCATAACCATTGTGATATATTCAATATTGAGTTTTTTGTTTTATAGCCAGCTTACCAGAATCTAAAACAGAGAGTGGAAGGGTACGTCAACAGGTTTTTATCGCGACAGACATGGAGCCCAGACTTAAACAAGAACCAGCTCCGAGACAACCTCAGAAGGCAGATAAATCAGTAGGTCTCCTGATTACGCTGACTGAACTGTTAAACTTAATGTAGTTCTAGAAACCCTGTAAGGCCAGTTTAACAATAGAATTTGTTCCATTGTGTGGCAATGTAGCAAAATAAACATGGGTGATAACTCGAATTCAGTGTATATCCTTTGGACAATCCAGGGAGTTGTAAATGTAATTATAGCAAGTAAAAAAAAGAGAAAAGAAAATGAGTTTAAATTTTTGATTTTATACATTTAGGGAATAAAAGGAATATATGATTACAAAAAGTCTGTTTTGATAAATTTGGTAAAGTTAAGTCGCCAATACACAAGTTTCGAGATTATCTCCCTTGTTGCGCTCTTTCGTTGAGGAGGCGAGTTTGGTTGCCGCGTAAACAAACAGGTGGGACAGATTTTTATTATTAGATATATCGCATCATCGATATACTGGTTTATCGTAACAATATAATTGAAACGATGCACTGTTCAACTCGAGAACAACCGAATTAAAGTAAAGGTGTCTTTTTTTAAAGCAAAAAATTTGGAACAAAAAAGAAAATTCAGTGGATGTGAGACTTTTCAGACGAAGGGTGAGATATATGGACCTCTAATAAATACGGTAAACATGAATCTGATCATTACATGTCGGCAATCCAAATGACACATTGATTTTTTACCTTATTATAACTTCAAAAAACCCACTAACGTTATAGAGAATGTTTGTACAATCAAGAAAATCTTTTACTCTAATGAAGACCACCACGTTTATTTCGTTTTCAAGTACCCGATAATTGAAAGTAGATTTATAAATATACGACAGTTGAGCTTGATAAAAACATAAAATGCATCACTGATTAACATCTTTATCTTTCTATATCGTTAAATAAAATTTAAAAGCCATAGACATCGTTCATTTATTTATCCACGTTTGTATACATAAGCAAACTGTCCCACCTCCATGCTGAAATGGATACTTTTTGCGCCTCTATCGCAGGAGAGTTACAATCTCGAAACTGGCGTATTCCGGGTCACATCAGGGTGTTTCTTTGATATTTTGAAAATCTGTTCAATTTATATTTTATGCAGTATATGTATTGAAAGAACAAATAATGAGTCATCCAAACACCTTTTTTTGTTTTCAAAGTAGCTGCACGGGAACAATATTTACAGGGGTATTTCAGCAAGGCCTAGCTTCCCCAGTTACGAATCATTTTCGCCATTTCCGGGTCATGTGACTTTACGGTCGTGTAATATTCATGGAATGTTTCGGAACACAATTTTTATGATGTTGAAAAATAAAACAGTTCATATAGCTTGGAAAAAAGGTCAAACAACCACAGAAATATGTTTAAAATATTTTTAAAACAATTACAACAAAACATGCTGAATTAAAAAATCTATTAGGATTAAAAATAATACAATTAAATTCATTTAATAAAAAAAAAATGCATTAGAAGGATTAACTCGATTTTAATTTTTAGAAAAAATATTTTCCAGTTAAAATACTTTTGATAATCAAGGTAAATGTATATTCAAGTCTTTAATGTGTGCGTTTCAGAATTTCAATTGTTGGATGCTCTCTTAATTACATACAGAAAGACCAGTTCTTCATGACCAGCGTATTCATTAAGTTTCTTGCGTTTAAATTTTAACACTAGGCATAAAATACACGTGAGTGACCCGGAATTGGCGACGACCCGGAATTGGTGACTCCACTATAGTTCTTTTTAGTGCTGCTTCTTTTATATTCTTCATGTGATCTTCAAAACCCTTTCCGAGTGATCCGCTCTAATTTACTGCATTGCAAGTATATGGGACATATTCTAACTGGTGAGGGCTTGTCCTGAGGCACAATTAGATTATTCTAACTACACTGGGTGATTCAGAAAAGCATGACAGTATTTAAAAAAAAAATATTTATTTCAGATCTGGTATGTTGACCAATGGAGTAGAAAGAGTGGTAGAACAACTGGTAAATCCAAAGATCCTGCACATTATCAAACCCAAAATTGACGAGGTTATTTGTAAACATTTGGGAATTGACCCAGAGAAGAGAAAGGAACATGTAGAACAGAGCAAGCAGCAACACAAGGAGAAGATGCAGTCAATGCAGAGCTTAATGTCTGTCAACACTACACCAGGTTTGTCTAACTTCTGATTTTACGGAAGATAAAGGCACATTTTGATGTTTTGCTTTCATGAATATAAAATGAATGTCCATGGTTGAAAAAAAAGATACCAACATTACATCTTATTTCCTGAAAGCAGATAAAATTTTATGTAGATAATAAGAGTTTCCTGGTAATTATTAAATATTTGATAACAGAAAGTTAAACTCTCTGAAACATGTACTTTTCAAACATGTACTTTTCAACGTACTTGACAGCCTCACTCTTAGAATAGCAATTCACGGATCTCTACAACTATAAATCAGAATGTAAATTTTATATTTTGTATTGGTAAATAATAAAAAAATAAATTCCAGATAAAAGTAATTCCAGTGGAACACCATCAGGCACTCCAAATACAGAATTCCCACCAGGTTTCCAAGGAGATGGATGGTCCCAACAGTCACCTGTGATGGGTCAAACGGGGTCAAATTTCTCTCCTGGAGGAATGAATTTTCCCATGGCAACACCATTTTCACAACAGTTTGGTTTCAGCATGCCGCCTCAAATGTTTCCTTACATGCAGAATTCATGGAACAACTACATGTTCAATCAACAAATGACCCCAGGTCAAAATTTTGTTCCGCCCACCTCTATGCAGAGTGAAACTTCATCACCGGCACAAAACACAACTCCCAATGTAACAGCTACTGAGAGTCCCCCTAAGCCAGATTTACCTCCCCTACCGCCATCTCCCAAAACTCCACCCCCACCAGGGACTGAGGGAGAGGATGTGGAGGAACTTCTTGTGAAGAACAAGCCAGATAAGACTAAGATCCTGGAGGAGATTCCCCTCCCCCCACCAACCAAAGAGGCCGGGGAAGGGGAGGAAGAGATCACTGTGGAAGAGATGACAGATATACCAAGTCTGGATGAAATCCCTCTACCCCCAGTATCAGCTGACATGGACGATTCCTCTCAAGAGCAAGGTAAGGTCATTGATTAAGGGACACTGACTGCCTGATATGCTTTTCAGTTAGATGACTGAAAAAAAAACAGATAATATTTACCTGTACCATGTTTGATATAAAAATAACATTAATTTTAAGAATCTCTATTCTAAAAGCTTTAAAGATGACATCTATTCAAAAGTAAATGTTCTGCAAATTCTGGTATATTCTGCGTTTCAGTGATGAAAAAATACAAGTTTGCCTGGCACGTGGATCAAGAGGACGCCAAATCTGACGTGACGATCAGCTCGGTCCACACCAGTGACCTGTCGATCTCGGAGGACTTCATGTCGGAGAGCGAGCTGGAGTATAGCGATCTAACGGACCACGGGGAGGAGGAGGGTGAGGTCCTCAGTCCCCCGGGGAAAACCCAGGAGGAGAGACCAGAGACGGAGGCCGCAGAGGGCGAGGCAGGGGTACAGGAGAGGGAAGGAAAGGAAGGGGAGGAAAATAAGGAGCAAGGCAAAGTGGAGGAAGCAGGTACTTGATGTTTATTACTAATTTTTAGAAAGGCTTCCAGCTGATAGATCATTTAAAAAAGAGAAAATTGTACATCTTTTTCTGCTTCTTTGTTATTTTTTTTATTACCAACGCTAAATGCAGTGATTAATTATAATGACTATTATTATTATGACTAATTATAAGTAAGTATAGGTTTGTTAATTTCGAAAGAATTAACAACACTAAATGCAGTGATATCTAATTATAAGTAAGCATATGTTTGTAAATTTCAAAAGAATTTTAATGTCGTTTTTTTCTTTTTTCAGCAAAATCTGAAGTCGAGGCAACACCAGAGAAAAAGGAAGACTTACCAACACAGGCTGATGTCCCCATGGAGATCACCCAGACAGAGGTGAAAGTTCACGAGGTACCAAAGACGATCGAGGCCCCCGAAGGGGAACTGAGCTCTCCCCCAAAGAGGAAGCTGATCTCTCTACAGTACAACCTGAGTGACAGCGAGGAGGAGGAGAGCAGGGAGGAGAGGAAGGCTAGAATTGTAGGTCTTACTGTATATACTCGCCTTTAAGTCGGTTTTTTGGGAGTTGATATCTGGTCCAAAACTCTGTGTCCAACTTATAGGCGAGCTATAAAAACAAAAGTATTATATGAGGACAGTACATCTGAAATATAAGCTTATTAAGTACAACCGACTTATAGGCGAGTATATACGGTAGTTAAAGCAGAGTTGATTCTAACATTCATGCTCTATACAGGAAAGTGGAATATTGCTTGATGCTGAGATCGTTAAGTTAATGTATTTAAAGGAAGTTGTACTATTATCAACCTTAAAACACACAGGAACTAAATATAATTACAAAATGTACATTTGTATTGGCATATATGTGTTGCATTGTACCAATATGCAATATCTTTTAGAGCTGCATATGCATGGAATTGTAGAAAAAAGGCACTGTAAAGCAGAGTATCCTTTTGTAAAAGAGCACACCAGTTCTAATGTGCATTTTACGTTATTCAGCAAACACCCACCCAAACACTCACAAGTGAATTACCTAATCCCCTCCAACTTTGCTGTAAGGGAATAATAAATGCAACAAATTTAGACAATTGATATGAGTTATAGTGGTTATAGTAGAAGGCACTCAATATTTATTTTGATCAAATAGGCAAAGGAGAAAGAAGAAAGATACACCAAGAGACTACAGAGACGAGCTGAGCTGGAGGCCAAGAGGAAAGAGAGAGAAGAAGAGAAGGCCAGACTACGGGAGGAAAGGAAAAAACAGAAGGAGAAGTCCTCTCCAGTAAAGAAAGAGGGTAAGAGGAGACTCCTCCATCATTAAGAGCAACCTTAAAGACATAATTGTCATATACAGGGTGTTTCAGAAAACATGCTACCATTGTATATCAATATAGTGAGGAAAGTAAATGGTTGCATGTTTTCTGAAACACCCTGTACATGTAAAAGCTTAATAACAAAGTTGTGGTTTATGCTGTTCATAAACCTCAATATTATATACAGATATAAAGTTCTTGTGAAAATTAAGTGTTTTACAATATGAGTACTCTTAATCCCAGGTTAAGCAGGAAAATCCTAAATTTTCCATCGTTTCATTATTTTCTCGATTTTGCTTTCAATATTTCTTTTACCTCTCACAGATTACACATTTCTTTGATGACCTACTAGATAATATATATATTTCAAACTATTGCTTGCTAATTACCAGTAATAGTATTTTTGAATTTATTAAAATATCTTTGTATTGTTATTCAATAATTAGGAGAGTCTGAAGATACCGATAAAAACCAGGATGAATCGCCAACCAAGGACAAAACAAAATCTCCAGTGAAGAAAGTCCCAGACTCTCCCGAGAAAAAGAAACGGAAGACAAAGGCCGAGCTGAAGGAGGAGTTAACTAAACAGAAAGTGATGGAGAAGAAGGCGGCTCTAAGACGACAGAGAACCAGGAATAGAAGGTTTGTTAGGGATATGGCTGAAAATGTCATAAAGTGAGATGTTAGTGTAGCAAGGGTTCATTCACCAATGGCCAGATAGCTCAGTTGGTATACTATGGTTTCATCAATTAATTTTCATGGATTTTGTAAAGAGACGTTTTAAAGGATTCCTATACAAATGAATCTCATATTTCTTAATTCAATGAACATTTTAATTCGTGGATCTGCTCAACAACGAAGTCCTCGGAAATTGATGCTCAACGAATATTGATGAAACCACAGTAGCACCTTAATGGAGATTCAAGGGGTACAGGTGTGAACCACTGTATTGTCCATTGCATTTTCTTCCTTTCCCATTACGATGGCAAATTTAAGTAACAGAATCAATATTGGTTATTATCCATTTCATTGTCCTGCAGATATCGGTGTTAGCTTCAGTTAAACTTTTGAGCATGAAATAATTACTGTAACAGTACATTTATTACGTCTACTAAATTATCATCAAAACAGATATTCTGTTTGATTTAAACTCCAGTATTACGTCCTTACTAAGACAAGGATTTAAATATCAGTCAATATGTTGACTTGTGTGTGTTGGTTGTATGAAATTCATGCAAATCTGAAAATTATAATCTGTTTAAACAATTGACTTAAATTCACATATTTTACAGTGATTGGGAAGGGCTTGCGCCACGCGCCATAGTCGCATTGAAGTGAAAAATGGCGCATTAAATTAATCAATCATGGCACCAAGGTGCGCATTCAATTTTTAGCAATGTTATTTGGAAATAATTTTTGTACGACTTTCTTTCTTGTTTACTTACATTTTAAATGCAGTCAATTTAAAACAACAAATCTCATTGGTTGAAACCTGTCAAAAAGTACTTCTGGTTAAATGAAGCACTTACATGTACATGAGGTACAATACTTCATTCGTTTGTATGGTAGGGCTGTTCCCTTTCCAAAACTGTCGTAATTTTAACACAAAATACGGGTCAGTTATATTCTAAGAAAGTTCCATTAAATTTACTGCATCACATGCGTTAAATATTGGATTCGGTTAAAAAAGTGTTTTCTCTCGTATTTTATATTTGTTTGTCACTTTGTTATTTCTTAAAATGGCCTTTGAGATTATATTGATGTCCCATTCATTATCGAAATTGCCTATCAAAAATGTTGACAGTTGGGCCATAGTTCCATTGACCATTTTGGCCTTCCCAATAACTGATTTTAAAATTAAAATTTTATTTTACTTCCATATTGTGGCGACGAATACTGAGTTAACTTATAAATTCTACATTCTAACACTGTACAGATATGCGTCTGAGGATTTCACCTCCATCTTTAACATTGTACATTATAAAACTATACAGATATGCCTCTGAGGATTTCACCTCCATATTCAATGAGAAGAGTCAGCCGTACACCAGTGCCAGCTACTCAGAGGTCGTGATGGAAGAGCAAGTGGTGGAGGAAGTGGTGACGGTCGAGGAGGAAATCATCATGGACGTCTCCAGTACAGGTAAATATAAAACACCTCAAATCATCATGGACGTCTCCAGTACAGGTAAATACAAAACACCTCAAATCATCATGGACGTCTTCAGTACAGGTAAATATAAAACACCTCAAATCATCATGGACGTCTCCAGTACAGGTAAATATAAAACACCTCAAATCATCATGGACCTCTCCAGTACAGGTAAATATAAAACACCTCAAATCATCATGGACGCCTCCAGTACAGGTAAATATAAAACACCTCAAATCATCAGGGATGTCTCCAGTACAGGTAAATATAAAACACCTCAAATCATCATGGACGTCTCCAGTACAGGTAAATATAAAACACCTCAAATCATCGTGGACGTCTCCAGTACAGGTAAATATAAAACACCTCAAATCATCATGGACCTCTCCAGTACAGGTAAATATAAAACACCTCAAATCATCATGGACCTCTCCAGTACAGGTAAATATAAAACACCTCAAATCATCATGGACGTCTCCAGTACAGGTAAATATAAAACACCTCAAATCATCATGGACCTCTCCAGTACAGGTAAATATAAAACACCTCAAATCATCATGGACGTCTCCAGTACAGGTAAATATAAAACACCTCAAATCATCATGGACGTCTCCAGTACAGGTGAATATAAAACACCTCAAATCATCATGGACGTCTCCAGTACAGGTGAATATAAAACACCTCAAATCATCATGGACGTCTCCAGTACAGGTAAATATAAAACACCTCAAATCATCATGGACCTCTCCAGTATAGGTAAAAATAAAACACCTCAAATCATCATGGACGTCTCCAGTACAGGTAAATACAAAACACCTCAAATCATCATGGATGTCTCCAGTACAGGTAAATATAAAACACCTCCAATCATCATGGATGTCTCCAGTACAGGTAAATATAAAACACCTCAAATCATCATGGACGCCTCCAGTACAGGTAAATATAAAACACCTCAAATCATCATGGACGTCTCCATTACAGGTAAATATAAAACACCTCAAATCATCATGGACCTCTCCAGTACAGGTAAATATAAAACACCTCAAATCATCATGGACGCCTCCAGTACAGGTAAATATAAAACACCTCAAATCATCAGGGATGTCTCCAGTACAGGTAAATATAAAACACCTCAAATCATCATGGACGTCTCCAGTACAGGTAAATATAAAACACCTCAAATCATCGTGGACGTCTCCAGTACAGGTAAATATAAAACACCTCAAATCATCATGGACCTCTCCAGTACAGGTAAATATAAAACACCTCAAATCATCATGGACCTCTCCAGTACAGGTAAATATAAAACACCTCAAATCATCATGGACGTCTCCAGTACAGGTAAATATAAAACACCTCAAATCATCATGGACCTCTCCAGTACAGGTAAATATAAAACACCTCAAATCATCATGGACGTCTCCAGTACAGGTAAATATAAAACACCTCAAATCATCATGGACGTCTCCAGTACAGGTGAATATAAAACACCTCAAATCATCATGGACGTCTCCAGTACAGGTAAATATAAAACACCTCAAATCATCATGGACGTCTCCAGTACAGGTAAATATAAAACACCTCAAATCATCATGGACCTCTCCAGTATAGGTAAAAATAAAACACCTCAAATCATCATGGACGTCTCCAGTACAGGTAAATACAAAACACCTCAAATCATCATGGATGTCTCCAGTACAGGTAAATATAAAACACCTCCAATCATCATGGATGTCTCCAGTACAGGTAAATATAAAACACCTCAAATCATCATGGACGCCTCCAGTACAGGTAAATATAAAACACCTCAAATCATTATGGACGTCTCCAGTACAGGTAAATATAAAACACCTCAAATCATCATGGACGTCTCCAGTACAGGTGAATATAAAACACCTCAAATCATCATGGACGTCTCCAGTACAGGTAAATATAAAACACCTCAAATCATCATGGACGTCTCCAGTACAGGTAAATATAAAACACCTCAAATCATCATGGACGTCTCCAGTACAGGTAAATACAAAACACCTCAAATCATCATGGACGTCTCCAGTACAGGTAAATACAAAACACCTCAAATCATCATGGACGTCTCCAGTACAGGTAAATATGAAACACCTCAAATCATCATGGACGTCTCCAGTACAGGTAAATATAAAACACCTCAAATCATCATGGACGTCTCCAGTACAGGTAAATACAGGGTACAGGAAAATACAGGGTACAGGTAAATACAGTGTACAGGTAAATACAGGGTACAGGTAAATACAGGGTACAGGTAAATACAGGGTACAGGTAAATACAGGGTACAGGTAAATACAGGGTACAGGTAAATACAGGGTACAGGTAAATACAGGGTACAGGTAAATACAGTGTACAGGAAAATACAGGGTACAGGTAAATACAGGGTACAGGTAAATACAGGGTACAGGTAAATACAGGGTACAGGTAAATACAGGGTACAGGTAAATACAGGGTACAGGTAAATACAGGGTACAGGTAAATACAGGGTACAGGAAAATACAGGGTACAGGTAAATACAGGGTACAGGTAAATACAGGGTACAGGTAAATACAGGGTACAGGAAAATACAGGGTACAGGTAAATACAGGGTACAGGTAAATACAGGGTACAGGTAAATACAGGGTACAGGAAAATACAGGGTACAGGTAAATACCATACAAAGAGTAAATTTTGGCATTTTTAGCGAGGATGTTTAGAGATTTTTAAAATGAAATATAGCTTACAATTCATTCATCATAGAAGATTGCCTCTCTAGGTGTATCCATTAATTACTGAAATTACTTCTCACTGAAAAAAGAACTTAATTTCAAGGAATATTTCACCAAATTTGAGCATTGCTAAAAATTCCACCTATTCTGTAGAGGTGTACATCTATGCCAAAGAGATTTCAAAATCTTTTGGTTTATTGCCATAGCTTTTTATTTGCCAGAAATTATTAGCTATTAAAGGTATAAACAAAAATGTTTGACATGATAATATGGTGCAAGGATTATTGCCCTTTGTACAAAAAACCCTGTAAATTAGAAGCCCATTTGAAGATTCTCTTTCATGATTTTAGTATGTACTTTAAAAGAATTAAAGTGGTAGTCACAATAAAGCATTAACATGATTGAATCTATCCCCTATCTAGTACGTTATGAAATATTTACTGAATTATTTTGTAATTATCAGTTGAGGAGGAGCTTCCCCCATTACCCGAGGAGGAGGTCCCCCCTCCCTCACTCCCCCCACAGACGTCCTCAGTCACTACAGAGGTCACCCCCGAGGCAGGTCAACCGGAGCCAAGGAGAAGGTCACAGGTCAAGGACACTCACAAAGACAGTAAAACTGACGAAAACAGGCCGGATAACAAGAGAAAACGCCAAGATAGTGGAACAAGGTAAGATTCTTTTTCTTAATACATGTATTCATATACTTTTGATAATCTATTCTGTAGAAGTGGGTATGGTGTAAAGGGTTTTTTTTCCATTATTCCATGTAATCTTGTTTTAATTCTCTTCATAACTTTCCTTTTCTTTTTTTCCTGAAGTTTCCAATTATATCTGTATACATTTGTAAGATAGTATATGTATGTACTATATTTACATACATGTTTTAAGTTATCCAAAGATCATGCAGTGAATGCAAGTTTTCTTTGAAGCAAAAAATAGAGAAAATATTAGAGGAAGAAAAGATTTATATTGGTATCCAGTAAAGACAGTTTTAAGGCAGTTATCAGTGGATCAAGAAATATAAACTCTTAACTTGTAAAAGGATATTATTGACCTGTACTTCCTTGTTAGTGTACTAATACAATTAGACTGTGAGGTTCCATATTTTCTTGTATGTCATTTTAAAATTTTTGGAGAAGAATTGCATGATAGGACTAGTAAACTGTGTTTGTATAAATGTTTACTAGGCCAGCTAGGGAGGGTAGAGCTACCAATAAACACCCAGATTCCGTGTTTAGACGACCAAGGTACGTACCATAGAGGATGCACTGTATTCCTAAACACATTAACAGAGTCAGGAATGAAACTCATAAGTCACGCAAATACCTGTATTATGTTTGTGAATTCTGATAGTAAGACATACTGATCATGTATTGTAGATAATTACACGTTCTTTATTCCCCACTGTTTAGAATTTGTTGATACATTGTAAACCATCATGTATAGATATATAGATTTCAATGTTGTTGATTTGTTAATGTTTTTTGTGGTGTGATCACGCACGAATAAAATTGACACCCCCTCAAATCCCTCAATTGTTGTAAGTATATGTGGATTTAATATAGCATTTTTCTTAAAAGTTTTCACATTTGGCTGTTCTTTTTTCCTCTTTTAATTTTTTTCCTTTTGGAAAATTTCAATGCATTAAGAAGTTTCACATAAAAATACATTAACACTTATTTCTCTGTTAAATGTTTCAATTTTCTCTATCATAATAATACCTAATCAATGTTTAAAAAAGAACAGCCAAATGGATTCCACAAGACAATTGTTTCAATGTTTTAAAGTAACCTGTTATTATGTTTCTAACATTGCAGCATTATTTTTTTGTTTTATTTACCCTAAGTAAGGGTTTAATACGTACATGTATATTGTATTCACCATTGTGACATCGTGCCAACTGCAGATACAGAATGGCCTAAGTTTTGTTCTATTTTTAGTTTGCTCACAATGACATTGGAATGACCTTGTCCATGTGTCTGTCTGCTTATCTTGTTTATTCCAGGAGTTTTATTTCAGGGTTTATATACAATATGTCATGATTATTTTAAGGCAATATCTGGAAATTCTTCACAGATTTTATCCATGAATAAGTCAAGCCATTCATAAAGTTCATTAATAATGTGTTATTGATAATCCTGTTATAAAGAAGAAGAAAATCGGAACAGGATAATCTTAGCTTTCGCTCAACAGAAACTTGATCAGTATTGATACTTCTATATACATGCAGGCATGTTTCAGAAGAAAAAAAGCTATATGGTACAATTCGTTAAAAGGAAAGAGGAATATTTCATGAAAACAAAATGTAACAATTAAACAAAATATTTAAAATAATTAGCAATAAAGGAATCCTTTGTTGTGATTTGGACTAGCATGGTTTTGAACTTGATATGTAGGAGTAGTATTAGTCCTGTCTTGAAAACCCCTATTTCATTTTAAACAGCTTAAAAATAAATTGATTTTTAAAAGCTTATAAAAACTAGTCTCTACTTTTAAAAATCGTGTGATTTAAAACAAATTGCAGCTTACAGTTTTTAATTGTCAAATACATGTTGGTCATGAATAATTTAAAAAAAATATATATATATCCTTTATATACATTGACTCGGTTTTGTTCTTCAACAAAGCTCACAAATTGCCTTCTATAATTTCAGAGTGGAAGATGACAAAAGTCAGAGTACTAAGCGTTACAATCCCTCCGATTTATACAAACCACGTCCCAACATTGCGCGTAGCAGAAGGCGAGGGTCCTCTCCAACTCAACAAAAAGCAGATGACACTGTGAATAAAACAGCCTCGGCTGGTGACAGCAAAACCACTAAAGAGGACAGACCAGCAGTTAATGAGGAACCCCCAGAGGTTATAGAAATTGAATCTAGGTCACCCTCACCAGTCAGTTCAAGGTCAAGATCGAGGTCAAGTTCACGTTCAAGAACCCACTCAAGGTCACGATCTCATTCACATTCTCGGTCCAGATCTCATCGCAAGAAAAGAAGGAAAGGAAGGTCGAGGTCAGGGTCAAGGTCATATTCTGAATCCAGATCAAGGTCTCAGTCCAAATCCCGATCCAGGTCGTATTCCAGAACGAGGGACGGAGCCAGTCCTATTTCATCCTCATCCTTATCTCTGTCAAGGTCACCTTCCCCGTCCAGACACAGTAGTAGATCCTCCTACTCCAGATCCAGAAGTAAATCTAGGTCAAGGTCAGCCTCCAGGTCATCGGAGTCTTCTGTGGACGAGTTTGGGAGACGGAAGAGAAAGGCTGGAAGAAGGCCGCTGGAAGAGATCGATTTTGGGGAGGCAGCTCGCATGGCTAAGAAAAGTTTGGTCGGAGTGGACTTTGGAGAGGCCGAGAGGAGAAGTAAACAGGAGAGGTAAAATTAGATTTATAACAAATATCTGATTATTAATTGATTTATTTAGCCTGCAGTCAGTCTAGGTTTTAAATTTATTCAGTCTATACCGAAGAAAAGACACCAGTCATTTGAAGAGGAAGATTCTTAAACCCTAGAAAAATAAAATTTGACTTTGAACTTTATGAATTGCGATTTTGACCCATGCACCTTGTATTTACAGAGGGGACCCCTCCAATACAACAAAAGCTACTGAATTTGCACCCTTCAAGTGAGTTCAAGGGTTTCAGTAGCCATTGCCATCTCAGAACTTGATGTTTATTTTGTTTTAGTTCACTTTGGGGATTTGAATTAATTTTTTTCTGGGATCAAAAATTTCAAATTTGAACATCAACCTCTGATAAGTGGTAGGCATTGATCTAACAAATTCCTGTCAGTTTTACTACAAATGTGTGTACAGTGTTTTAATGTCGTATCCTTCAGTTTAATTTGTTTATAATAGACAGTGTTTCAAAATGACATGTAACAAACTTTAACAAAGATACTTATAAGATGTTGTCTTCTGCCTATGTTCTCAAGTTAATGTATTTAGAGACACCTTCAGTATAGGGAAATGTAAAATGAATTCAAGGAAAAATGGCATTCATTGTCCACTTCCATCTTTTGTAGGTGTTAAGTTTTTTGCTCACATGAGCCACAGGTTCAGCAAGCTCTCCTGATCAAAATTTGCCAGTTGTTTTTACAATTTTAAGTGTACAATACTCACAACCAGCATTACTGGTTTGAGTTTGGTCATAAACTTAGAAATTCACAAATCTCAAGGAACTGTCATAGCCCATGAGCTGTCATTGCTTTTGTACATGTATTTAGACCTATGAAATATTTTGAATAATTTTTAAAAAACTTAATAAAGCTTTTGAAAATTATGTGCTTCACATCTGAGCAGTTTTCAAATAGTGGGACTTTCAGTGCCCTTTGTCATGTTCTCACTGTCTCCATTAAGAGATTTTTAAAACATTCTTGATATTTTGAGACAGAAACTTTACAGTTAAACATTTTTTTACACTTGGAGAGTTATTATTTAAAGTAAATGTATTTAGAATTACTTTTTATTAAGAAATGGCATTTTTATTAAACTTTGATGTATAAATAGTTTAAAACAACAATTCCATTTTGATATTTGCATGGTCATTAATTGCAACACAAGTCTTTCAAGAAGAATATTATATATCTTATCTAAATTGTGTCATATTTAAAATATCCATGTGAGCTTTCATCATTTAAATGATTTTTTTTTTCTTTTAATAGGACTGTTCCCCCGTTTGGAGCCCCTCCACCACCTGGTGCCATGCCCATAGTGGACCCCACCATGAAAAAGTATGATGTTATACTTAATGCTATTTCTCATCACAGTACATCACATCTTTTCACACAGCCACATGTAAATTTAGCATGATCAAATTTATGAATTGCATTCTGATTTTATAGACGAATGGGAAAAAAGCGAGGATTCCCACCAACCAGAGGTGTGCCGAGGAGCAATGCACTTCGAGGAAACTGGTACCACCAATCCTGGCAGTACGAAGAAGCCTCAATGGAGGAAGAGATGGTCATGCCCCCATCCCCCTCTCGGCGGTACTACGCCCCAGACCGGTCACCCCTCCATTACGACGATCTGGATTCCCTCTCACCAGATTCCATGGGTAGACACTCTCCCAGCATGATGAGGCACCCCAGACGTGGGGTCTCCCCCTCACCCCCTCCTTACGGAATACCTCGAGGAATGAGGGGAATGTCAAGGTCACCCTCTCCTCCCTATCTCCCCCGGAGACACTCCCAGTCAATGTCACCCCCTCCCTATGCTGGACGACCTGGAACTTATTCCCAGTCTCCCTCCCCACCCCCCTACATTGGCAGACCCATGAGGCACTCTAGATCCCCCTCCCCACCTTATGGTGGACCCCCCTCTCCTCCTTATGGGGGTCGTCCAATGAGGCATTCACAGTCTCCATCCCCATCACCTCCCTATCTAGGCAGAAGACAGAGGTCACCTTCTCTCCCATATACAAGAAGACCCCCCTCCCCCTATGATGGATCCCTCCCATCTCCTCCAGTTAGAGGAACAAGAGGTCACAGACCCCCCTCCCCTCCTTCTCCGTCATATAGGGCTTTGTCTCCAGAAGGGAGGGTACGTACCAGAAGTCAAAGGTCACAGTCACCCACTTATTCCTCCTCACACAGGGGGAGACCCTCACCTTCACCCCCTTTAGATGAGGAGGCCCCATCACCCCCTGAATACTCTCCCCCACCACTGTCCCCCACAGGCTCAGGCTACAGGTCCCCATCCCCACCCCCCTTATCTCGACTCCCTAGATCTCCCTCACCCCCACACCGTCCCGTGACCAGGGCCTATCACTCTCCTTCAAATTCCCCCTCCCCTCCACCCATGCGACCTGTCACCCCTCCCTCTCGACCTTTGACTCGAGGCCAGAGGGCAGTATCCCCTACATTGTTTAGTCCTAAGACACGGAAACAGAGGCCCCCCTCTCCCCCTCCAGCAGCCATGTCCTCACGGTCATTACGAGCCAAGCACAATGCCCCTCAGAGGTATTCCCCTCCCCCATTGCAGAGGATGAGGCCTCGGCCCCAATCCCCACCCCCAGCTAAAAGAGGGAAGCGGTGATCAACTGTACTATTCACAATGCCCACCATCATCCAAAAGGGAGAAACAAAAAGGGACTTGTGCAGATTTATTAAATTGACATTTGCAATTAGATATGTGCTATTAAGAGAAATGATTAATCAACATGTGTTCTTTAAATTAATGCTTACATTAAGTTATTAAGGGAAATGAAGATCCAAATTGTACAGACTGATTAAATTAGAATGGACTGTAAAACATAAACTAGAGAAAGATCATCAACCTAAGTTCTCAGTTTAAATTAAACAATTGAATGCATATGAAATGTATCAACAATGTTGTTAATTGTACATAGTGTATTTATAATCTGTAAATTGCTATAAATTAAAAGAATGAGGCAAACTGCTTTGTTTCTTTGTCATTGATTCTGATGAATTAGTTGTGTTTATTTTATGTATGATCTGGATAATGAAAATAATTTGCAGGGGCACTTGACATAACTAATATTTCTTTCAATATAAAAATGAACCCCCTACCCTGTATACTTTTATTAAAAGTAAACATAAGTAACGTCAGGTGCCTGTGGTATTTTAATCTGTATTTAAAAATTAGATATCTGAAAAAATGACCCAACAATGTGTATGATGCATGTCATTCAAAATACCATCCAACAAACAGTCAGGTCATTGTATTGACCACAGACCGTGGGAAATTCTGAGTTCAAGGTCAAATGATACGTTCCTCAAATACCTCCTTTGGGGGGGGGGGGGGGGGTTTACCTTTGTCATCTAAATATTCAACATTCTTATAATTGCCTTGTGATTTATAGACTGGTTTATAATTATCTTCAAAAAATCAAAGAACAACATGTAAAATTATTATATTGGCAACAGAATTAAATACTAGTAGGAGACATGCGCCATCCTCTGGTACATTGAACAAACAACTTGAAATGTACCTCAAATTGATTTAAAGTAGCTATTCTTCATTGACAAAATCATAACAAAAGGTAGTCCGATCCTCAGGTATATAATATTAGCAGTTAAGTAATCAAAAATACTCATAAAAGTATCTTTGAATCCACGAAGGTATGTAAATTTGTCCACAGAATTTCTTTAAAGTTAAAGATTAAAGTTATATTATATAGGGAAAATTGCCAAATCTCCAATATTTTTTGCAGAAAAAGCGATTTGGAATATCTGCAATGCATTTTCTAATTGCAAATTGATCAACAATTATATTTTAGATTTAAAAACAATAGGTATCCAGGCATTCAGAGAAATTGTCATGATTTTTATACTTATGTGGTATTTTTTGTCTTCTATTTCCGTCATATATTCTATAGTACATGTACATAAGGGGAACGGTTTTTGCTATCATTGCAAGACCCACAAATCACTTTGCATTTCATATCATGTTAATAAACATTGGTATCTAAGCCTGGATTCAGGAAAATCCTATTTCTCTAAAACTGTATTATTTTTTCCCCTTTTATAGGGTACAAATGTCAACTTTTATAAGACCTTTTCTAAGACTTCCAAAAACCTTGAATCTTATAAAGATGAATAAAATGAAAATTGTTGCATGAAAAAATTTCATTTTCAACCTTCATTTTCATGCATTTCAAATTAAATATTAATTTTTGGAGTTATCATTCCTGGCTGAGGATCAGATATCCTTAATGGTGAAGAATAAATTATCTGCTTGAAATGGAAACATTGACTTGTTTGTTAGTAACCTAATTTCAGTTTAAAAAATTATTTTAACCGGAACATTCTCCAGTTTGGTAGCATAAACATTGGTATGCTTACTTGTTGAAATAACAGAGAAACTCGTACTGGGCGACTAAAAGCCACTTTTTGTTACTAAATAAAGTCATTATTACCGGTATTAAGTGAAATTCCTGATCCACTGATGAAAGAAGTTCTCCTGCAGAACTGATCAAGTTGTCAAATGAATTATACAATTTTTATAAAACAAGTATTCTAAAACAAACACAAACAAAAATTAAAACTTTAAAATGTTATATGTATATTCCTCAAGGTGTAGACTTTTTGTGCAAATTCAATATCTGGAAGTGATAAATTTGATTCAAAACAATCTAAAAGGTACATGTAAAGTATCTGTATAATTTTAGTACACCCCCCCCCCTACAAACTCCCGGGTAATAATGCACACTTCTGATAAAAAATATTTTTAAACAATGAGAACGTACTATTTTCTACTACACTAGCTGCAGAACTGTAGCTCTCTGCTTGAGAAAATTCGGACAGATAAAGCAGAGAGCTACAGATCCAAGCGTTGTAAAAACCTTCGATTTACGCCGACGATTTTTCGTCGCTGCTTTAGGTATTTATTTCGTGTAGTTTAAGCTTTCTCTGGCTTTTAGAATGGTATTCTATAATAATTCATATATTTAACTCTTACATTTTACACTTAATTTGCCTTTTAATGGTCCGAAACAGTCCTGTATAAAGTTTTGTAATGTTGGTTCAAAAGAGTTTCCTTTCGACGTCCGTGACCACAAACAGCCATTTGCTAGCGTTTAGAGGAAAGTAAATCATCAGGAATTGAAGTTTAATTCATGATTAATTTTCAAGTACATTTTAAAATTAATTTCAAAGCTGTGGAAATTATAAAATACAAGAAAAAATAACTGTAGTGTATGGCAAGCCCTTTTACTATTTATTCGTAAAATAAATTTTTCTTTCAAAATGAGAGATATCTCTCTAGCATAGAGAGATATCTCTTTAGCTTATGGAGATATCTCTTTAGCTTATAGAGATATCTCTTTGACTAATAGAGATATCTTAATACTTTAGAGAGATATCTCTTTCAACAAAAGAGATATCTCTTTTTGAAAGAGAGATATCTCTTTTAGTAAGAGAGATATCTTAATAAGCTAGAGAGATATATCTTTAAACGAGAGAGATATCTCTTAAAGTTAGAGAGATATCTCTTTAACAAGTTTAAAAGAGATATCTCTCTTAATTAGAGAGATATCTCTTTAGATTTTCAAAAAAAGATATCTTTCTAAGCTAAAGAGATATCTCTTTTAATGAAAGAGATATCTCTTTTCCAATCACCCTTAAAATAAAATAACTAATTCTCCCGTTAAAAACGAAAGCGAAACAGGAAGTAATGTCTGTTAAGTCGTTCGTTTTCTGGTTATGGAAAAGAAGAGGATAAAATGGACTGATTGATACAGGTAAACAACGTTTAATTGCTTTATTGTTTTAAGCGAAAGTAACAGGATTTCAAACCAAAACGTCCCCCAAAGATTGGTTCCATATTATATTTAGTTCATTTATTTAGCTCACAGGACAGCTGAGCCGGGGATATAGAATGCGAAGTCAATAAAAACAAATTCGAAATGGCCTACATGCACCCAATTTCATCGATCACGGGAATGCAGGATTGATTACTACGTCGATTAAACATAATCCTGATAGAATTAATGTTATTTTTTAATTAATTAATACTCCAAAAATAAAAACGTCCAACATTACTTCTTTCATGTAAACAGGGATGTATATATTCAACTTCAATATTAACTGTAAGACCGTTAAACGACATACATGTACGATCAATATATTAACTGTAAAGCCTTATGACCCTCTTCCCAAACACAGGCACCTGAAGTATGGATAATACCCCCCCCCCCTTTTTTTAATATTTTTTTTAAATTTAACAAAAAAAGGGGGGTATCATCCATACTTCAGGTGCCCGTGTTCCCAAATACTCTTACAATTATGAGAAAGACATTTTATTTTCTTAAAATAGGCATTAGAAATAGGAATTTTCTTATTTGTCTTAGCTAGAACAATCCCCAATTTATCCAATGTTGTCACCAAACAGGTCTGCACTGGGTCCATAAGACATTCATCATTCAATGGTAGAACATTTTATCTACATTTGTCATATTTTACAGAGATCCAGGAGGTACTGAAAAAGGGACAATGCTTCGACTGAATGTGTCATCCATGTACCAGTATAGACCTGTTAATGAGGCATATCCAATAATTCTTATACTCATGAAGAGTGCGGCAACTCCCAAGTAGTTAAGGATGGCACGCATTTTAAATCAGGTACAGGATAATTTTTTGGGCTGCACTTTTCTTTACTTCAATATTTCAAACTTACTAGTTAAGTATCAAGTCCACAAAAGCTCAAACACCATGGTGAATCAATGGGCCATAATGATAGTTAAATTTGTCATATGCTTTCTTATTAAATTATCAATTTGAAATTTGATTGGTAAAAAACATTTATTAACAAGTACAATTCTTCTACTGTGTGCCTGTCATCCCAACAATTGCAAATGCACATCGATAGGTTCTCCATGAAAATTGCTAACTGCGCAGAATGGTTGCACATTTTTTCAATGAACTACATTTTAACATTGAATCCTTCAGTATAACAAGACAAATATTGCAGGCTTATTTTAATACAATATAAATAAACTTAAGAACAAATTTAAGGATTGAAGTTTAATTTGTATATTTGGTAGTTACATGCGTAATTAGTTTTATATATAAAGGATGTACACAAGCATTTTATAACATTGAAAATATTCAAGAAAGTATTCTCTTAATTTCTTGTAGATCCTCACTTCTAGGATGTTTTCCATGTTCTTGTGAAAAGTGTTTTACATGGCACCATTCAGCTACAAATACTTTGCTGGTGGAACTGTGACATCAATCAACTGCTCATGCCACTGCTAATTGGCAGAATTTCCTTTGGGACAAGCAAACTGTTTCAAATATTTTACACCTGCAAGTTAGTACTTATGAAATTTTGTTTGCAGGAAGCTAAAAGCTAATGAGTATTGAAAATACAAGTCAGATGAAGTACAAAAGTGTTGATACAAGTCATTTAGAATTTTCAATTCTTTGCAGGTAGTGATGAGTGTACTGGAAGTTTTTTCGGGATCTTGTCCGACATCATAGGTACAACTGGTCACTGTGCTTTCTTGGTTACATAAGCAGGCATATTGTTAAAGCGGTGACACATGTAGCTTCAAATGATGCTTGACTGTTTAAGTGTTTTTCTATGATTTATAAGTAAACCTGGATTGATCTCTGATGCAGTAATATAGAGCCATGTCCATTCTTCAATATTCCATCATCCCACTGTCACAAAGTACTGAAATAAAAATGATTTTCATTTTAAAAATTTTTGGTTTTTATATGTAACATAAAATTCTACAGAAATTCAAATATTAAAACTACTTCAAAACAAGATGTGTTTGTGAAACACTATGCACTAGGCGGCAACAAATTCAAACAAGTTTTTTTAAGCATATAGGTCATAGTCAAGGTCACAAGGTCATTGGCCTTGGTGTCATTTGAAAGAGCTTAATTAGTGGAGTATGCAAATCAAATATGAAGTCTCTATCTTTAACGGTACACTACAAAAGGTATGGTGAAAGTTCAAAATGGTATTTATAGCATTAAAGTCACATTAAAGGTCAAAAGTTCACTGGCCTTGGTGTCATTTGAAAGAGCATAATTAATGAAGAAGGCATTCCAAATATGATTTCTCTATCTTAAATGTATAAAAAGTTAAGGCGAAAGTTTTAAAAAAGCTATTTTTAGCATATAGGTCAAGGTCACAAGGTCATAGACCTTGGTGTCTTTTGAAAGAATTTAATTAGTGGAGTAGGCATATTAAATATGAAGTCTGTATCTCTCATGGTTCAAAAGTTATGGTGGAGGTTAAAGTTGACAAAAGACAAACAGACATAGAAACAGGATATAAACAATAGACAATAATTGACTTATTTTATGATTGTGTATATTAATGTGACTGAATTTTGGAATCAATTTGTACAAAGGTTTAGTGTCATTGAAAAAGATTACAAAATATCCAAAAGAACTGTTTTACTTGTTAATATAGAAGGAAGTTGTTTAGAAAATTTTCTTTTATTAGTTGCAAAAAATTTTATTTACTATTCAAGATCACAAGATAGTAAACCATTATTTATTGATGCAGTAAAGTTATTCAAGTATTACAGAAACATAGAAAATTGTTGTGAAAAAGTTAAGGACAAAATACTCAGTAAATGGGTCCTGTATGATAATGTGTACAAACAAGTGATGAAAAAATCAAAATTGTAATTTTTTATTAATTTATATCTACACATTTGGGTACATCTGTTTTGTTTTGGGATAAATTTTATGTTTAACTGTCATATGTTTACATATATGTACATTTATTATGCCCCCCCCCCCCCTTGAAGAAAGGAGGGCATATTGCTTTGCTGCTGTCTGTCAGTCCATTTAGTTTCCATTCATTTTCTTCACAACCATTGCACTGAAATGAAATTTGGTATACAGCCTTACAGGTATATCAGATGAATATCTAGGTCAAGTTCTGTTTTGGGTATGATCATCGCGCCATTTTTGACAGAGTTATACCCCTTGGCTTTAGAAAAATTCCAATTACTTGCAGTTTCTGTTCATTTCCTTTGCAGGGGTTGCACATAGTGAAATGCAATTATACAGATTTATCAGATGATCAGGAATATCTAGGTCAAGTTCTCTTTTGGGTATCCTTGCACCATTTTTGACAGAGTAATGCCTTTTTGGACTTAGATAAAAAATTCCAATGTGGGGGGAGGGGGGCATAAGTATTTTACAAACATCTCATTATTTTTAATTTTAGAAAGTGCACTGTGTGAGTGTGTGCAATTGTGGTGGTGAGTGGGTGAAAATTGTCTTGTGTTTGTGCAGTGTATATATGGATCATATACCATGCAGTACTCAGAAATGCTAAATAAAAGGCTGCGTAGAAGAAAAAAAAATAATTAAAACTACCAATCAAATAAGTATTAAATGTAAATCTTTTAAGATGAAGGTTTTGCTTTGTCAGATTCTTTGCTTATAGGGACACTTACCTTTAATAATGTCATGACAGGTGAGGCACATGGCTGGTCTTCATGCTGGATCAGTTCTTAGTTAAAACCATCCAGTATTGCCCCAAGATTGCCAGATGTACAGACAAAACCTGTAATTTAGCAAGCTTCTGTAATATTGAATTATTACATAGGCCATAGTTGTATGTGCAACTGATAATGATGTAGGACTAAGGTGCCTGACAAATAATGAGTTATAAATCTTACAAATATCCATTTACAAATCTTAACTTTCTTCATTAAATTTTATCAATGATTTTACAAGAAAATCAGAATAAAAATTGTCCTTTTTATACATAAAAAATATTTTCATTTAAAATCTTTTTATTTAAAAATATTTGTTGCATTTTCATATTTAGGGTACCCTTCCTAGGCCAACAATAAAAAAAATGATTTGTTTGATGTACTCTGACCGACCTGTTCAAATAGCCCCTACCCATTTGCATTCATTTCTTGGGGGCACTTAAAATTTTTTAACACCCCCCTTAATTTCCATAGATGTTTTAAAGATAAGGTATCATATTTTTTTTAGGATGCTTTTTAATTTATAAATACAAAGTCTTTGTAACTAAATGAAAACATTAACAGATTTTTGAGTCTGTGGTTTTAAATATGACAGTTATCAATTAATTCAATGCAGTAAGACATATGAGAAAAAAAAAACTAGAAATATGTCCACAGGACAGGAATGCCCGCCAAGGGTATATTAGTCATGCAAAATGAAAATTTGTATGAAATTTGATCAGAATATCTTGAAAAATGTTACAGTTGAATTGCTTACATCAGTATGTATCAGCATATGAAGTTTGACACTAATTTCAGAGATGTGAGGTCAAGGTCAAATAAAAGGTCAATGTCATGTTGATGCAGTTGAATTGCTTACATCAGAATGCATCACCATATGAAGTTTGACACTAACTTAGGAAAACTGAGGTCAAAGTCAAAAGAAAGGCCAAGGACAAAAAATGTTTGTTTCAGTTGAAAAGCTCTCATCAGTATGGTAAGTTTGATACAGTAAATCTCGTTTCGTACGAACAAATATTGCGAATTCATGGGTATAGCGAAGTCATCTTGGATTCCCAGCTATAAAATTTCAATGAATTTCTTATACGATTATAATGAATTATGGATATAGCGAAGTAATTTCATAGGTCCCAGCAACTTTGTTATAACTGAGTTTTGCTAAAACACCATCTTGAATGGTATGTTTAAAACTAAGTTAAACACTAATTTAAGAAAAGTGAGGTCAAGGTCAAAGGAAAGGTCAAGGACAGAAAATGTTGATGCAGTTGCATAGCTCTTATCAATATCTATCAGCAAAGTTTGATGAAATATCCTGTATAGTTTCTTTGAAACTGGGCTTTGAACTGAGCTAAACGCAAAGTGTGATGCATGGACAGAAAGACAGAAGACAGTCATGACAAACACTATATGCCCAGGCCATAATCATGGTGGGGCATAAAAAAACTACCGGTACCTACCAACCTACCTGCCAACCTTGATAAAAGTGGGTAGGAGTACATCAAACAAATATATTTTTAAAGCTGGCCAGTTGTTGACTAGTATATTAGTCATTTTGATATGCTATGTCTTATAAAAAATAAATTTTATATTTGTCTTAGAACTTATTTGTTGCATCAATTTCATACCTGTATTTGATTTGCATTGTTTTGGATGCTGATAATTCAAAGTCAGTTTGGTCTTAGGTGCTGCTGACTTTGGATCTCTTAGGAACTGCATCTTTTATCTGTGTTACTGGTTCTCTTGTACCTCGCTGCTATAAATAAGTTTTAGTGTATACAGTTGTGTAATATCAGTGAATAAATTGAACAGACAGATTGATTGTTTATTGTTTATCGTTCCTCTCAAGAATTTTTCACTCATATGGAAACGACAGTGGAGAGCTGCAAATTTTGTCCTAATGACCTATACTCAGCACTCAGGGCCATTGACTGATTGAGCAGGAAGGGATCTTTTTTGTGCCAACACCTGAGCTACTGCAACAAGGGGCCACAGTTATACTGTATCATCCCAAGGACAGGTCTCCACATCCCACAGTGGGATTCAAACTCATGATGTAAGGATCAACACCTTATTTCGCGACTCTACTAGAGCAGACACTCTAACCACTGTGCCATGCAGGCGAATTTGAACAGACAGAAAAATTTACCAAAATCCATAAAGCATGTTCTATAAACAGGAAACATACTCTCTAAAGTGAGAAATATGGTCATCTAAATTTTATTTAATGCAGAGAGATGGCAAAATATATGAACATCTTAGGCCATACCAATTTCTAATATAGTTCGTCGTATTCGCCGCTTCTATTTATTACAAATGCAAATTATAATATTACAAAAAAAAATGTCCGCGCGCGCTTCCAAAAAAAGCCGACTACAATTTTTTTTTTGCACCAAACACACATGAACTTTGAAACTTGTATGACAGATGCGCGGGATTTATAGTGAGATTGAAGCAGTTTGTGAAGTTTTGCACCATGTCTGTTTAACTGTTCATATGTACCAGGGGTGTGCAATTAGCATCCCCTGACGCCCGGGGCTAACATTTTTGGGGGTCGGGATAGTGGTTTTCTACAAGGAGGTAGCCCGTCGGGCTAGTAAAAAATATAACTACACACGCAATACATGAAAAGCACAACCGGTATTTTAACTCGTTTTTGGCTATAAAATTCCCAACCAGTTTATATTTTCCAGACAACAATACTCCTCCTGTCAATAAATCTCCATAATCTTATCCGTTTTGCAGAACTACCTGACTTATTTACTTCCAAAAACGATCGTTTTTTTCCTAATCCGAATTTCT